TTCCCATTGCAGCTGTAGCTGTAGATCCTGTTTCTTTAATGTCTGTTTTCTTCACCAGAACGTAAGCTTCAAGAAGTTAGACAGCAAGTCTAAGTTGCTTGTTGTTCTACCCCCAGCATCTCATATAGCACTTGACAAATGATGAAAATTCAGCAAATTCTGAAAGTGAATAAACAAGCTAGTCTAAAATTAAACTTACGTTCTCACCTCTGCCTCCCACCCTCATTCAAATCTCCTCCTGCATCACTTGGTCCCCGTCCATGTCTCCACCAGCCCAGTCCCACAGACTGCTCCAGTTCCTGCTGAACTGTCCTCTTGCCTCCGGTCTCCGCCTCATCAGTCCATCAGAGCATTTGGAAACACAAGCCCAGGCACATTGCTGCCCTGTCTAGTTCCCTTCTGTGACTTTCCGGTATCTAGATGAGTAGACGCACAACTTTGTCACTGCTCTCTGTATTGGAAAAAAAAAATGTGCAAAGCAGAATTTCCCCAGAGTATACGTTTATTTATCTATAAATTTTGTATATATACTACTGGTGTACATACATTGCAAAACATACATAGATGTAGAAAAATTTAAAGGGTAGGATGAAACAAATACTTCAAAATAATTTTATTTAATGATATGAGAATCTTTTGTGCTCATTAAAATATTAACACGTCGAATATGTTTCATTGTTGGCATGTTTGATTGAGAGTCTTGTTCTACGTTTTACATACTTTAATGGCTGTGCTAGCTGGGAAGGGCACTTCACAAAGAGACTTTGACCCAAAGTGCCTGGATCTCATCACTCATAATACTTGTTTTATTCAGTCCTGTGAAGGTGCCAGCTCCTCAAAGAATCCTTGTCTGACTTAGCCCCCCTCCCCCGCTGTCTCTAGTTTATTCACGCATGTGTGTACATGTATAACCATTACACTTACCTCCGCTATGCTCTACTTGGTTTGCTCACATATCTGACTTCCTCGATATCCTTACCCTAGAGAAAGCCGAAGTTCTTAGATTCCCTTAGTGAAAGGAAGGAAAACCCACTGAGATTTGACTTTGCCAAGCTTTGTTGAGTCCCAGGACGTCCACCATCTCTCATTGTCTGTTTCCCTGTCTTAAAATCAGACTCTTTCTGGATTTGGCTGGCATCTGTATGTCACTTGGGCCTTGAGGTGAGAAGAACCAGTGGCTGTGACAACTGGAAGACACATGTGGCCTGAATGCCTACAGCCCTGTGGCTTCTAGAGCTTGCTAAGCATTTGTAAGTGGTTGGGTGCCCAGGCCTCATCTTTTACTTAAGAGGTCTGGGGATTTACAGCCCCACCATTTTTTGAGTACCTGAGTGAGCAAAGCTGAGAGGTGGAATTTCAGAGATTCAGTTTGGATTGGCCACAGCCTCATGCCCCATACCTTAGGCCAGCGACTTCTCTTCCCTGGAGAGTGAGTCCAAAAGTTTCATTGGAAGAACAGCTGAGAAATAAGTGAGCAGTTTCTGTTAGGTTCTGCTTCTGAGACAAGGCTGGACATCAGGCGGGTAAGATGCAGGGTGCACAGGGAACAGGGAAACTTCAGAGCAGGCCTGGAGGGGTGGGTGAGCAAGGAGTGACACCAGAGCATCTGGTGACTTGGACCTTGGGCTCATCTTCCCTCAGGCTTTTTGCCAGCAGCAGGAAGCCCTACTATGTGTAGATGAGGTGATGACCTGGGACAATGGTTTCTGGTCTTTGAGGAAGCTGTTTCTGGGAAGAAATGTCAGCTCCCTGACAGGCCATCTAAAACCAAACTTGATTTCCTGTCTTACCTACAAAACATCTAAGCAGCAGAAAAATGGATGAAAGGAAACTATCTAGTACTTTTTTACCCTGCAGAGGTAAGACCTTAATGAATAGTCAGAACACCTTGATGCATCTTGAGGGCTAAAGGGCAACATAAAACTTGACCAGAGATCTCTGATGCCATGAAGAACACAGACTGATAGCTGCTCCGTAGCAAGCTACCCAGTATACTCATGCCTTCCTCCATCCAGAAGGAAGGAGCTGCCTTCTTTGTTGTATTCAGGGTGATGATGAATTCAGCTGTTTCCTCCTGATCTGAAAATACACACAGGAGAGAGAAACTATCTCCAGTTAGACTTGATAACCAGGACATACATGTCCTTCATGTTTTGACATGACTTGTCAAAGTTGTACTCCACGTTCCAAAATGGTCCTTGGGATTTTCTCATTATCTTTACTTTGAAGAATGTGATTATCTTCATGCTAGAAACATTCAAGAACATTTCTTCTGCCTAGTATTGTTAAGCATTTGTTGCACCTAGGAACAAAGCCTAGCTGTGGCGTGAGAGAAGAGAATTACAGTTTAGTAAAATACACACTGTGTGTAGAAGAGAAGGGTACATTGTAAAGAAGCAACAGAGAGAAAGCTCCAGATAGAAAATTTACCCAGCCTGTTTGCTTGCCTTATTTTAATTGTGGGTTTTAATGTCTAACTAACGAGTCTCTTCAAAAGACTTTTCAGTTTTATTCTCTGGGACCCCTGAGCCCTTCAGTGAGAAGTACATGGCTGAAAATTCAAACATGGACCTGTAGGAGAGCCACTGTGATATTGTAAGTGAGTGGTGGCTTCATGGTGACCCCTCACTCACAGCTGACTCGGTTTGGCCAGATTATCCTGCTGTTGTGGACTGGTGCCTCACCTGAAAAATGGGTTCTTCCCTTATGAAGCAGGTCCCATGAATTAATAACTGGATCACCAATAATGCTAAAAAGCACTCTAAATGCCATGCATTGTTTTCAAGCTGTTACTCCTGGTGGGTGGCTAGGTTAGTATTGTTTCCAAGGCTAGGATCTGGATACCAGCTCATCTATTCTCCAGCTGTTGTTTATCCTCCAGTTTCCGAGAATAGTCAGGCACAAGGTCTTTTAAAAACGGGTTTTATGCTGCTTTACATTTTGGTGTGTAATAATTAAGTCACTTACTGATTTAGCGTTTGTTTACTGACAGTGATGTAGGTAGTGGACCAAAGAGCTTCATATCCTTTGGAAGCAACAGCATTTAATATAGACTCTTATCCGCTCATCTCTACCCCTACTCCCCCCAATCTCACTGATTGAAGCCTTTTTATGAGAAAGAGTTATCCAAGTTCTCAGTTCCTCAAGCAGTCCATTTCATTTCTCTTTCTCTTTTAAAATTTTATTTCTTAATTGATAGTATCTTTATGTAGTATAAGATATAAAAGATACAAAGAGCCTGCAGTAAGAAGCCTCACCCTGCCTGCCAGCCACACAGGACAATCAGTACTACCAATTTCTTGGGTGTCCTTTTAGGTGGATTCTGTATGTCACTATGTTCTCCCCACCACCACCTTTTTTTAATGCAGAAATGGTGGCATCTATATTATACATACTACTCTGCCTTGTTAGAGCCATCTTAGCAGTGTGTATTAGAGGAAGTTCAATAGTAAGTGGGAGTACAGAGATGGGAGATGTTTCTAGAACTGATGTGAAGATAATAACCTAGTACATCTCCTGGTGACCTCTACCCCAGCTGTGTCCAAATACTAAACACGGACACCCGGCTCCCTGCCTGACATCTCCACTGGGTGTCCCAGAGTCCCTCTGTGTCATCACTGCCTAGGTCAAACTCAGGATATTAACACTTGGCCTCCCGCCTCCCAAGCCAGTCCTTTTCCACTATTCCCAAGTTCCATCCATGTCACTGTTACCCTGGGTTGTACAAGCCAGAAACTAAGATATCACGATGACACCTCCCTCTCCTCACTCCCAGAACCAGGCTGTCACCAAGCCAGCCAGTTTTACTTCCTAAATTTCTCTTAAATTGGTCAACTTTCCTTCATGTCCTCACTGTCCTCCCTAATGGGGCCTCCTTAGTCTCTCTCCTGAATGACTTTAATAGCTTCCCAACTGTCTTACGCTTCCACTCTTTCCTGCCTCCACTCTGTTCTCCACACAGAATGGTCTTTTAAATGATCTGCTCGTGTTACTTCCATACTTGACACCTTTAGACGCCTCCCTAGCACTGTTAGGATAAAGGTCAAACTGATAATCACGCCCTAAGAGCCTTGCATGGACTGGCTCCAGGGAGCCTCGCCAGGCCTGTTTTCACTGTCAGCTGTCCGGGTACAGGAACCACACTTGCCCAGCTTCATCTGCCAGAGCCTTCTCTAACTGTTCCTCTGTCTGGGATGTTGGTCTCCTTTTGCTTTCTTTGACTCATCTTTCCGATCTCAGGCTCCACTTCCTCAAGCCTTCAGTGTCCCTCCAGACCAAACAAAGCTGACATCATCTTTTCTTTCATTATGCTTATTAGGGTTTTAGTTTCCATTTATGAAAATTAAGTTGGATTATGTTTCTTTAAATTCTTATTATTGATGTAAGATGGTTTCTGGCACATGTGAAATTATTTTATAAACTGTGAAGGCTCCTAGAATAAAAAGCAATAATTTTTTAAAATTCATGTTTATAAATGAATTTAATCTCTGGGGGATGATATCCATGTTTATGAGTGAGGGGTGGCCCAGGGAATCTCTCCTTAAAGACCCCTAGTAATCCTGATTTAGACCATTCAATGCAGTGCATTCATTTCAGTGCAAATGCTCTGTGCTAGACCAGCACTAGAACACTGGGCAGAACCAGTATTCTAGCAGCTCACAGTATTTTATTTTTAAACATCCAAGATCACATAAATCTATTTTCCATGGCTTTTTCAGGTGGCTCCTGACATTTTAGAATCTAGCCTTATACAAATTGGGTGATGGGAGCAATGCTTTCTTTTGATCTAAGGAGAGAAAAATTTCCCCATTCTTTCTTCTAATGATTCTTACCTCTTCTGTTGAGAGATGTCTTTAGAAATATCCCTGCTGAAAGGGAGAGAGATCCTCTGAAAGAACTGAAGCCAGATGAAGCTTGTTTCGCATTCCCTATTGTTGAACAGAAATTTGTATAGTGTCTGCTCACCAGGAGCTGTCTTTGTCTCTCTCCTTTATCCCCAGGAAACCTGTAGGAAGTGTCAGGGACTCTGGAAAGAGCACAATGGTCTCACTTGTGAAGAGCTGGCTGAGAAAGATGACATCAAGTACCGAACATCTATGTAAGTAACACGATCAGGGGTTTATATTCTGTTAACCTGCCTTTGGGCAGAGGGCTCAGTGGATATTGTAGGAAGAACAAGCTCACAAGCTACCCCCGTCTAGAATGATCTCGGGGAAGTGATCTAACCCCTGAGCCTGTTTCCTCATCTCTGTAGTCTCCTAAAACTGTTTCCAGTGTCAAATGTAACATAGTAAATGCCTGGCACATATGAATTCAATAACTGTTGTTCCTCTTCTCATTATTTAAATAAAAAAGCAAATAACACATTTTAATTAGATTAGGTTAGATTGCACTATTGTTACTTTTATCTTTTTTCTGATAGGATACTATTGGCCTGAGACATTCATTAAAATTAGAACCTCCAGAAGCAAAATACTGCAATCAGTAATGATACGGCCGTTACTGTGTGACACCCCCTGTGTGGCCAGGCATTGTATACGTGTCACCTTACTAAATACATTGACTTACGTAATACAGACGTGTACCCCTCTCTCATGCAGTAGCCCAGCCTTGCCAGGCCAATGGGGCAGATATGTCCCATGAGGTCATTCAAAGGCCCAAGCTTCTTTATCTCATTACTTCTCATTCCCTGAGGCAGTATTCCCATCTGCATGGCTGTGGCTGAGCTGCAGCCGCATTTGCATTCTAGCCCATAGAAGAGGAGAGACAAGTTGCCAGGCAGGCAGCTTTTCTTTAAGTTGTAAGTGATGCAGAAATTATATGTTAATTATTTCTGCTCTTGCCCTGTTGGTCTAGGTTGAGTCGCATGGCCACAACCTGGCTCCAAGGCAGACACCATATGTAGTATCTAGCTGGGTGATTTCACGTCCAGCTTAAATTTGAAGGGTAAGGAGCCGGTTTTGTGACCAAGCAGATGAAGTGGGAGATGGCTGTTTGAGGCAGTTAACAGTCTCCCAAGTCTCCACCACAGAAACGTACTGTTATCCTCATTTTACAGATGACACAACTGAGGCACAGAGAGCCCAGGTAAACATGGTCTCACAGGTAGTAGTTGGCATAGCAGGAATTTGCCATTTACTAGACAAATGGCTTCCTGACTTTGCTCTTTACCACAAGTTTGGTAGGCAGAATAATGGTCCCCAAAGATGTTCCATGTCCTAATTTCTGGACCCTATAAACCTGTGAATGTGTTACCTTACATGGCAAAAAGGACTTTGCATATGTGATTAAAGTTATGGACCTTGAGCTGGGGAAGATTATCCTGGATTATCTGAGTAAACCCAGTCTAACCACTTGACTCCTTAGAAGCCAAAGAGAACTTTACTCTGGTCAGACAAAGATGGAACGATAGACAAAGAATCAGGAAGACATAAGAAGAATTCTGCCTCTCCTTGCTGGCTTTGAAGATAGAAGAAGACCCTGAGCCAAGGAATGTGAGAGCTTCCAGAAGCAGAGGATAACCTTTAGTTCACAGCTGCCAAGAAAACTGAGCCTCAATCCTACAACCTCAAAGAACTGAATTCTCTGGCAGCCCAAATGAGTAACAAACAGATTCTCTCCTGGACCTTCCAGTAGATAACAGCCTGCCAGCACCTTGATTTTAGCCTGTTGAGATCCATGCTGGACTTCTGACCTACAAAACTATAAAATAATACGTTTCTGTTATATTTAGCTAATAAGTTTGTAGTAATTTGGTACAGCAGCAATAGAAAACAGTTTGATGCCAGAAGTAGAGTGCTGCTGTAATAAATACTTTAAAATGTGGAAATGGGTTTGAATAGAGCAATAGGCAGAGACTGGCAGAATTTGGAGAAGCATGATAGAAAAATGACTAGATTACCTTGAACAGACCATTAGTAGAAAAATGGACATGAGAAACCACCATTAAGGGCTCACAAGAAAGTGAGGAACATTATTGGCAAAGCCTGAACTGCCTTAGAGTATCCTTAAATCACCACGTTATATAGTGACAGAAAGCTTAGTTGACTTGTGTCCTGCGGCTGTACAGAAAGCAGAACTTGTAAATAATAAAACTGGACATTTAACTGAAATTTCCAAGCAGTGTTAAAGAGTGGAAAATGTGAGTGGAAAGAGCTATTAATAAAAAGGAACAGGCTTAATCATTTCTGAAATTCTCATCTTGTTCAGATGATAAAAGACCCTAAAATTAAGAGCTTGACTATCAGGGAAAGCATGCTCTAAAGAAGAGGAAAAAAGAAAGAAAGACTGCATTGAGAGTGTCAAAGTCTTTGGTCACACAAAGGCTCTTTGAAGACACTCAGAGAGTGAATCACAGATGCCCTCACTCTAACCAGGAAGCCTCTAGGAAACTCAGGTGTTACCCTTCACCCATCTAAGCAGAAGCCAAAAATAGAGATGAGATTATTGAGGAAATAGCTAAATGAACTTCATGTCTTAATGGAGTGACTCCCTGTGACGTACATGGGAGACCCACAAGGCTCTTAAGAATTTTATATCAGTAGAAATACTACCAGGTTGGACTGGAAGAGACAGTACAAAATGAAAGGAATCTGTCAGACCCCCAAAATTCTCTTAAGTAGAAAGCAGACTGATTAAAAACTACTGAGCTGCAAACAGGCTACCTTTCTTGAAAAAAGAAGTATTATACAGAGTAGAGCCGTGAGCCACAGAGGATTATTCTCAGATCTGAAATAGAAGGGAGTTTGCCCAGCTGGATTTCTAAATTTATTAGGAGTAGTGACTCCTCCTTTCTTTCCATTTTCTCCCCTTGTGAACCAGAATATCTATAAATATTGTCCTATGCCTGTCTCGTCATTGTATTTTAGCAACAGATAATTTGTTTCTTTGGTTTCTTGGGCCCACAAATGGAAAGAAAGTGTGTCCCAGAGTGGATCTTATCCAGAGTCTCATCTATACCTAATTTAGATGATAAAATTTGAGTTGACTTTATAATGAATGAGATCCTTGGAGTCCTTAGGATGAGGTGACTGAAGTTTGCATGTGGAATGGATGTGACCCTTTGGAGTGCAGAGGGCAGACTGTGTTAGACAGAAGCAAATGGCCTCCAGAGATACCCACACGCTAACCCCTGGACCCTGTGAGCATTTGTACCTCACATGGCAGAGCGACTTTGCAGATGTGATTAAGGTAATGGCAAACGGTAGAAAACTAACACAACCACATACACAGTAATCACAAATACCACTTTAACTTTAATATTGCTTCCTCAAATCTAGGCCTACCCCTGTCTGTCAGCCAGCCTTTGTGTCTTAGAGTGACCACCACCCTGACCAGTGGCATGGCCTTGAGTGATGAACATGTCAAAAATTACTCTTTTTTTCGAAGTAGTTATCTTGTCAGGCAATATTCTAGCAGTTGAGCTATTGCCTAAAACTCTTTAAACTTCTCATTTGGGATTGTCTTTCAGCCAGTTTATGAGCCAGCTCCCCAAAATCTGTTCTTGTTGCTATGGACCTGTCATAATCTAGTTTGAGTTGGAAGGAAGGGAGGATTTCTGTTGTTGCTGTTTGAGCCTTTGTTTTGCCCCAAGGAAGGATGTCTTACTAATGAAATTGATACAGATTTATTGAGTACTTACATTGGATAGCTGTATTTCAGAACCTGCAGCAAATTTCTTAATCTTTCTGTTCCTCAGTTTCCTCATCTGTAAAGTACAGAACATAATTGTATCTCTGTAGGGTTGTTAGCAAGTTTAAAGTACCGAGAATGCTTATTGCCACATGAGAAGTCTTCCAAAAGTGTTAGCTTTGTTGTTTTTCTTTTGTTTTGTTTCTTAAGCAGAAAGCCCACACTTGTAAATGTGACAAAGCCCATAAACAGTCAGCTTCTTGCACTCAGGGCCTGTTCCTATGTTCTCTGCTTGAAGTTAGTGATGGAGCGTTGTCCAACTCTAAAAACATGATCAGGCATCTGGACTACTCTAAGGCTCAGTCACAGACAAGGAGATGTTTGTAGAACGAGAGAGTTGTTAACTTTTTGAAGCATAGCCCCCATTCTGACTCTCCTTTCGGTTCCTGCTACTGGCTCCATTGAGCATGTTGGTCTGCCGTAGTCACCTGGAGCACCCCTAAGTCCAGCAGCAATTGGAAGGCTTCTCTTGGTTTAGGTCCTGCTTAAACCTGGCCTTTTGTATCAGCAGTAAATGGATCAGAACCACATGTCCAGATGTGATGTATGTTGATTCCAAAATCCAGAAAGGCCTCTCAAATGTCTGACTTCTTTCTTCATGGTAGGGGATACAAGATACAGGAATGTGTGCTTAACTGTGGAAGGAATAGCCTGATACATACACACCTGACTTCCAGACCACCAGAGATTCATAGAGATTACAGATCTCTGTGTTTTCAGGGGACTTATCTCCCGTCTTCTGGCATGCATACACCATATTAATGTATCCTAGGGAACCTGCTGCTTCCTGTTCACTGAGTTCTACTTGCATGTCGTTAGAGTAGTAGACCGATGTGTTGTCATGTTGGATGTCCATGTCGTCGTGGGTGACACGTGATCGAGGTCCTTGCCACCTCCTTCTGGTGTCCTCAACTTACTGGACAAAGAATAAAAGCATTTTGCAGATCAGTAGCTGTGTACCATTTGCCAGAGGTTATGTTTATTTGCTCTGCTAAGAAGTGACATCTGGAACAGCAGCTGCAGTTAGAGTCAGCACCCGGTTCGCCTGTGGTAATGCACTGTTCTCCAGGGCCTATTCTTCTGCACAGGCCAGAGAAGTGAAAGGAGGTGTAGTGGGAATCAGCGCTGTGCATCTTTGAAGTCTGTGATGGCGGCACCAGTCTCAGAGATGCTCACAGGAATCTAGTATCACTGTTTGTAGGGAAGGGGTGCTGTAGAGG